CTCCATCGGGAGGAATTCCTAGCCGACGAGTCGCGATGCACGACAGGATGCTTCTCTTTTCGGCGAGTCTGCGAGCTCTAAATCAACCTTCTGTTTTGGTTTTAGAGAGAGGATTTTGTGGGGCCTGCGTTTGTGCAACCCACCCTTTTCAGTGGTTTTGTATGTTTCGAGTGGTTGTGTTTGGGCTTCCGTGCCAGTTGGTCGTTTGCTTGATGCGCGTGCATGCATGATTTTGCTTCCATCTACAACATCAACTAGCAACAAGTTCACAAACCTCACCTTACTGCAAATCTTGCAGACTGACACACGGATACGTAGGACTTTCTCCATGTGTCGGCTTGTGAGGATTGGACCAAGCCGCTGTTTGGCTGCGAAGCCTATGAAAACATTGGTATTTCCGGTGTTTCTGCTCTTGGGAAACATAATGTTATGCGGTCCATTGTTTATTTACACTTGGCCTTGTTTATAAACAAATGAGTTGTCCATAAACACATGGGTTACGTATGTGGAAAGTGGTGCGAACGTGCGCGTGCCTGTCTTCCCGTGTAAGGGATTCTAGCTCAGAGGTCCAGTCCTCGCCACCATGATAACCCTAGTAGAGGACCCGAAAGGAATATGAAGAGATGGTGTTTCAAATTCTGTCAAACTTTCTGCTATACGGACACTTGAGGAGACGGAGGCCCTGTTTTGTCGTGGAGCTTCGAGGCTTCAGAGGTAGAGGCGGCGGCCACTTCGTGTTCCTTCGGATTGTAGACTTAGACTGTGGGGCAAGAGCCAAAGCTATAGCATCCTAAAGCAGCTGGCAGGACATGTGACATGAGCATGCGCAAGCACGGATCTGAGTCCTTGACAGTCACACATGTTAATACATGTACTGAACTCACTCATATTTGTTAACATGCAACAACAAAGCACTGATCTAAACGCCTGCTTCGAATCCTGTGCGCTTCGCCAAACAAGTACGCTAATTCAACCCGAACATGCTCCCAAACATCCAAACATTGCATACCAAAGCAGAAATGTTGCGTTGAGTTGCCCGGTGTTCGCTAGAGTGGCCTGACAAAATGGACAAAGTCTTGGGCTCCGTGAGCGACCTATCGAGTCTACGCGGCCTACCCCAAGACTTGGTGTGATAAAGTCAAGAATAAACACGGACACACGGTTTGTTTACGGTGTTTCCCGCCTGTGTTGCTGTGGGAAGAACTTTGAATACGCAGTCAATAAATGCCGTGGTGTGCTAGCCGTTGACGTCTGACTGTGCACACTGCACAGGCTAAGCCCGACCTTGAATCCACTACTCACGAATGGAAGTGAACGCTACTCTGTGGTGTAATTCTGCGTGGACCGTAGAAGTGCTTGAGGGTGCTAGAATTGTAAATATTGTACAAAGATTGGGTCTGCAAAAACCCAGGCCTCACAGCAACCAGCTCTCCATTTTAGGCATGTTGGGTCGGAAGGTTTTCTTAAACCTCACACAGGAAACATCGTGGGCACATACGGGAAGCATTTTCCCCAAACAAAGGCATGTGTTGCATGCTACTCGTCTTGTGTGATACTACTCAACACTACCCCGGTTCTGCCGTTGTGTACGAGTGTGCCATTTGGAGTTCTGCTTGATTTGTATGCACATGCACTGTGATATCCTAGATTGGCCGCCGCGGAACTCGAACTGGTGTGGGCCCTCAAGAGCATGCCCGGTACAGCCGCTGCATGATTGCCATTGCAAGTTTTTAACAGCAGCAAACGTGAAAGGATCGCGACAAGTATGCAAAACCGTGTATAACTACCAGCAACAAAATTGGCGTGAGCACAAGCTGCCTAGCCATTACCAAGGTACTCCAATGGCAGTTGCCTGTCCAATGACATGGAGGTTCGTTGGTGCGAGCCATGTCAGACTATCTTTGTTGCAACAAAAGCTCCTTGACAACTCGATTTGAACTAAGCTCTTAGCGTTTCGAAACGCAAATGCTTGCGTTGGATCGCACAATGTCTTCGGATGGTGCATTTCCAACGTATGTATGTATGCATGCATGTATGTATGTATGTCAGCGAGTGTATGTGTGTGTGTGTGCAGGACTGACTGACCGACTGATTGACTGAATGACTGTGTGCAGTTATGTATGTATGTATGTATGTATGTATGTATGTAGGGCCCAAACCGCCTGCACAGGGCAGGAATATTGTATGCCCCAGCACCCACCATGGGTGCGTCTGCCGGCTACGGGCTAGCAGTGCATGACGGGAAGTGTGCCATGCACAAGCTGGGCATTCAGGTTTTGCCTTCACCCAACATGATGGCGATCATGCATGTAGAGCATTGGTTCGGAGGACATGCTCGCATACTACACGGCAAATGCGTTTGCAGCTGGCTTCAAGAAGTCGCTGGCATTCCAGCCACACGGCATCAAGCAGAGCAGAGGCTCGTCGGGTGAGGGCATCCGGACCACCAAACAGCAACCTGGCAGTTCATGCACTTCACCCGACGTGGAGGCGTTGATGGGCTCGAAGGACACACTCTGCAAGTTGGTCATGTTGAACATAGGTTTGGAGGACATGCTCGCGCACTTCACCATAGCGGCTGGCTGCAAGAAGATGCTGGCTTTCCAGCCGCGCGGGATCGGGCAGAGCAGAGGCTCGTCAGGCGAGAGCATTTGGATCACCACAAGGTTTGGACCTTGGAGGACACGCTCGCGCACTTCGCCTTGGAGGAGTCTGCCGCTGGCATCAAGCAGAGCAGAGGCTTGACAAGTGAGCGATGCTAGAGCGCTTTGTATTCGATTGTGGAGGTCTTATGGCCTTCAGGCGATTGCTGAGTTTGATGCCCCGATATCACCTCGATGAAGGTGCTTAGACTCTATCCTGGGTATCTCACCGTGCAGGGAGGGCCTCATCTGATATTCATAAGGAAGATCCTGCACTACTTAGGTCCGATATGTGGATCGTATACTGTCTGGTGCTTTGATCTCCGACTACGGAATACAAAGCATTACGTATCGTTCATGTGCCATCTTTTGATTTTGTCGTGGGGATGGGACAGCTTTTCCGTTTGCTGGTTACATCCCACCCTTGTCTGGTGAGCGCATACTATGTTTATAGATTTCTGCGCCACCTCCCACGCTTAATTACTGCACGTCTTAGGCTGCGTCCGACCTGGACTCCGTGAATTGAAAGTAAAAAGTGAATGTATGTACGTATGTATGTATGTATGTATGTATGTATGTATGTGTCTGTCACAACTACATGATGAAATCAATGTGACTGCTGTTTGGCGTGGAGTTTGGGAGCCGTTTACCAATGTGGAATCTACACGTGAGGTTCCTGCTGACATATGCTGCGATTGCCATGCTTGGAATGACCAGCATGATTGGCAGGATGTGCCGACTGGTTCGATGCTTTGGCGTCTTGCAAGACAGCCTTACTGGGTTTGGATACACATCAGTTACCAAGAGGATGGATATCGGAAGTGGCGGCACCGGTCGAGACTGGTCCATCAGCTTTGCCATCGGTCTTTGTTAGGGAATTGGTGATGATGAGTGCAACAGGCCCATCGATTTCTGCCTGCTGTCTTCGTTCCTCAACCACTTGGGTTATCCCTGATCGTGGTCTTCTGGGACCCTGGCGGATTCTGGCATCCTGCAGGTTTGCCGACGGCAACGTGGGGAACCTCAAACGCAGCCGTCGGGCGCAGCAGCGCCAAATGTGAGGGCAAGCTTCACAGGCGCTGCTCGGGGATGCTGTTTAGTTTTGTGCTATGACGCGTCTGTTGTGGACAGTTTCGTCTCTGTCTCTCGGGCACATGAGCTTAAACCTTTGGTTTGTGCTGTGATGTGCACTTGAAAGTACAGCTTTTTGGGCTCGGCCCGCTGGTTTAAATTTCAGTGCTTCCACAGCCTCTCCCACTGCTTGCCTCCCGGTGCGGTGGCTCAGTGTCAGCAGATTTCTGCTCCAGGGCAGGTTTTCTCATGTTGAAAGCATGCGGCCCCCTGAGTGCACACTGCTTGAAGCTAACTCACCCTTGAATTCATTTGTCTTTGCAAGGCGTGCGTCGACATCGACTCTATCGCTACGAATGAAAAAATGTGTCTGTCATGTATGTACTTATGCAGACATGCGCACAGAGACAGACCAAACCGATGCATGTGTGTCGTTCTCCGAGTCCTTGGAGTTTTGCAGGGATCTGGTTCCATCACCTGCAAGAATCAGGCCGTGGGTAGGCAGAGTGGAGCTGCACCCGGACCTTCGCCGCCTTCCGATTCCTCGGCCTGTAACCTCGCGAGACAAGGCTACAAGGGACTGACATGCAGTGCGACACGCACCGATTCATCGCTTTGACTCTCGTAAGGTCAGGGCGGAGGCAAGTTCCTGCCCACATGGCCCCCACACTTTTCAAGGGCCTAGCTCGGCCCCAATGGGCTCCCGCGGTCCCTCGCGGTCCCTCGCGTCCTGGGCTTGGGCGGTGTGACCTCCTCCTCATCTTCAGCACGATAGCGCAGGACCATAGCCTCAGAGCTGGCCAAGAAACGACTGCAATCTCACGAGCTCTACTTGGCCTCAAGCCGCTCTTGGCACCTGCCATATCACGAAGAGCGCAGGCTCTGCGAGAACCAAGCTGAAACCAAAGCAGCTGCGGCGTGGGGTCTGCGAGCTCATGCCAGGCGACGCGACGCGATGCGTGCACACCTGTCTTCTGGAATTGTCTGCTCACTGTAGCGCCGTTGCGACCAGTTGGAAAAGGGTGGATTTTTTTTTTTGGGCTTTTTTTTTTCTTTGGGTCTTT